ACTTGAGGGGTGGATCGTGGATTCAGAAACCCAAGAAACCCTCCAAATACTCAATCCAATAACCCTCCAGATCCTCCAGATCCAAGGTCAATCTCAATGCAACTTGATTCTTCCAGGTGAGCTACCTCCGAGACGTTTTGATGGGAGGCGTCATCTCATCATCTCTCCGATGAGCTTCCATGCGGTGTGCAGTAGGGCTCTCCCCACTGATCTTTCAATGCGTCTGAGAGAGACAAAAAAAATCAACATCATCAACGAGATGCAGGTCCATAACGAGAAGCACCAGAGAAAGATGAAAGGCTTGTAGTTGATGGGTATGCCTCCGGGTCCAAATTTGCCGCCTGCGCACCCTCCTGCACCACTGTCGCTGATACTGTTACGACCTCGGCGTCCATGTACCGCGAATCACCCGACAACGGGAGCTTTCCCGAGCGAGCTTTCATGTGACTTTGGAATGGGCAGCTTGCTCTGCCAAGGACCAGGGTCCGGGGTCATCCGGTCCAAACAACCGAGTCCGTGCGGAAGGGAGTGGAAGCCATTCCAGCTCATGTTGTGTTGCATTTCAGTCACAATGAATCTTACTTCAGGTGTACATCTCACACTTCTCCAGCCATGTAAACCCCAGGGTCGATGCTTCAATCAAAAAAACAGACTGACAAAAACATGCGGGATTTACGAGACCCCTTGTCCACATCATCTCTCCCACTAGTCCCACCTACCTGAAAACCTTGAAGTGGCATGAAGCAGATTCTTGAAGCATTCGAAGCTATTCAGCAGAGATGATTTCACAGCTAGCCAGATAGCAAGCCATATAGCAAGCTTCTGGTTCGGGTTCGGTCTTCACACGAAAGAGGGTCCCTTCGCCCTCCTCCCTTCTCCCCGGAACCGGTATTTGTCCAAACCCTGAGGTCATCTGAGGTCTATGGCCAGCAAAACCTGGGCAAAAAGGGATGAAAGGATCGGGGCGAATGTCCATGAGGAAATCTTTTGGAGTTGAGGTTTGCCTAAGGCTGTTGAAAGTAACTGGCGGTCTGGGTCAGAACATCACTCTCTTTAAGACGTCAGCCAACAAAAATCATCCTCCACTGCTCTTATGCTAATGGGATATGATATACCCAGACGCTCAACGCTCAACCTTCACCGAAGAAACTATATTTGTATGCCCACCGGACAGTTACTCATCGCACCAGGCACTTCAAGGCAACGACCTCTTGGAAGAAGGAATATAGACCCGTCTACCTATTCACACAGCCTAATAGCTTGATGGCCTCCAACCCAATAGCGATGGCCTCCAACCCAATAGTGATGGCCTCCAACCAAGTAGCGACAGCCTCCAACCCAATAGCAATGGCCAACCTAATAGCGATGGCCTCCAACCTAACAGCGATGGCCTCCAACCTAACTGCGATGGCCTCCAACCTAAGAGCGATGGCCTCCAACCTGATAGCGATGGCCTCCAGCCTAATAGCGATGGCCTCCAACCCAATATAGCGATGGCCTCCAACCCAATATAAATTGATGGCCTCCAACCTAACAGCGATGGCCTCCAACCTAATAGCGATGGCCTCCAACCTAATAGCGATGGCCTCCAACCTAATAGCGATGATGGCCTCCAACCTAATAGCGATGGCTTCCAACCCAATAGTGAAGGCCTCCAACCAAGTAGCGACGGCCTCCAACCTAATAGCAAAGGTCTCCAACCTAACAGCGATGGCCTTCAACCTAACTCCGATGGCCTCCAACCTATTAGTGATGGCCTCCAACCTAATAGCAAAAGTAACTTTTTCCCCATATAGCTCTAGGAGTTCCAACTTCTCAGTGGTGTGGCTCTGGATCGGCGTTTTGGTTTGTGCGGGTGCTGCTGCCGTGCTGAGGCTGGTGCAGATGCAAGCGCTGGCTCTGGATCGGCGTTTTGGTTTGTGGGTGCTGCTGCCGTGCTGATGCTGGTGCAGGTGCAGGTGATGGCTGTGGGTTGACGTTTTGGTTTTGCAGGCGCTTCTGCCGTGCTGATGCTGGTGCAGGTGCTGGCTTTGGATCGGCGTTTTGGTTGTGCGGGCGCTGCTGCCGGGCTGATGCTGGTGCAGGTGCAGGCGCTGGCAGTGGATTGGCGTTTTGGTTTTGTGAGCACTGTCGCCGCGCTGATGCTGGTGGAGGTGCTGGCTCTGGAGCGACGTTTCGTTTTGCGGGCGCTGCTGCCGCGCTGGTGCTGGCGCTGGATCGGCTTTGGTTTGCCAGTGCTGGCGCCGTCGTGGTGCTGGCGCAGGCGCTGGCTCTGGATCGGCGCTTCGTTTTGCGGGCGCTGCTGCCGTGCTGGTGCTTGTCCAGGGATGACATCATGTCATGCCCAGAATGACATCCTGTCATCATGTCTTGCCAGCGGTGACATCATGCCATGCAGGAGATGACATCATGTCATGCCCAGGGATGACATCATGTCATGCCAGGGATGACAAACTATGGACCCGCTAGCTGGGGTCTATGCCGGTGTCATTTGGATCACAGAATGCCTCAAAGACCACATATTCAAAGTCTTGGACCGTGCAGGAACATGGCAATGAACCCGTCTATTTTCCAAGATTGAAGTCTTCGTGGACACACACCACCTGTTGGGACCAACCTCATACCGATGGCCTCCAAAGCCTCCAACCTAGTAGCGATGATGGCCTCCGGCCTAATAGCGATGGCCTCCAACCTAACAGCGAAGGCCTCCAACCAAATAGCGACAGTCTCCAACCTAATAGCAATGGCCTCCAACCTGATAGCGATGGCCTCCAACCTAACTGCGATGGCCTCCAACCTAACAGCGATGGCCTCCAACCTGATAGCGACGGCTTCCAACCTGATAGCGATGGCCTCCAACCTGATAGCGATGGCCTCCAACCTAAGAGCGATGGCCTCCAACCTGATAGCGATGGCCTCCAACCTAAGAGCGACGGCCTCCAACCTGATAGCGATGGCCTCCAACCTAATAGCGATGTCTTTTCAAGGCACTTCAATTCACCTCAACACCCCCAGCCACCGCCCAGCGACTCAACTCAGTTCAGTCTCGCCGGGCGACCGAAGGCCACATCTCAGGGTCGATCGCACATCGGGCACGGTTTCGATTCCGGTCGGATGGCGACCGGTTTTTTGGGGAGTGGATGTTTCCCGGTCGGAGTGGATGGTTTTAGGGATCTTTGTATGCCTGAGACACGTGCTGTTGGTCAAAAAAGATCATGAAAAAAATGAGATTGGTCAACAAGAGTAGGATGTGCTGCTGGTGGCACCATCAAGATGACACTTGAGCTATGTTGAGCTGATGTTCTGTCACGGTGGAACTTTGGCAGACTTTCCAGTGTTCACTGTGGATGCTGGTGTTCAAAGTGTTCGAATCATCGCATGCGCCGGTCTGCTCGATGTCTTGGTCTGCTCTTGTCTCACCAAAGAAGTCGGCCTGTGACTCAGTGGAAAACAGCTGGGGCGCAGCAGGTTTTTCTGCCACCCGGGGTTCGGTTCGCTGAGCCAAAGTTGGGCGCCGAACGCGCAGAGGCGGTGCGGCGAGTGGTCTCTGACCGCTGACCGCAGCTCTCTGTTTGTAACATCACTCCATCCCCACTTCTGAACTGAAAAGTCGGGCAGGCCCGGAAAATGAGAGAAATCAGCCTTCCAAAGTTCGATGTGTTGTTCAAAAGAAAGATGAGAGTTGAAGTCGAAAGGTGCTATGTCGAAGAAAATAGCACAGCATCCTGTGAAATTGAGCCTCTAATGGATAGAAATTTGACTCAAATATAAACTGTATCCGTTGGAAACCGTTGAACATACAAACTATTTGGGTGCCGCTGTCAAGTGAGCTCTAGACATAGGGTTGAATCGTTTTGATGGTTCTTTTCTACCTTGGTGTTGGCACCCTACCCAGCTTGCAGGCCCCAAGAGCCACTGGAGTGAATCTGTCAACCAGCATGCAAACTGTACACCTATAGAAGGTAGATCCGTGGCAAACCACTGTTCAATCCAAACCATGCCTTTGCGGAAGGTCGGCGGCAGGTCTACGCAGGGTCCGCATTTCAAAGTGGCAACCATCTTTGGTAAAGGAACACACACCTTGCAGCTCTATATTCATCATGTGTACAATGTACATATATATATATAATATCCAAGTAACCATGGATGATTATGGTTAGTAAAGACCTTTCTCTAAAAAAGTGATAATGGTTTACCCATTGTTACAGGTTTGTTGGGACAGACCCAATACATATATATATATACGCATGTGTCCACAACCGAACTTCTTACGTACGTGGCAAACATACTTCTAACATCTCGCAGACCGACAGGTAGAAATGTTGAACTGCGTTGAACTGCTTCTCGTCTTTCGTGGCCTTTCAAACCAGTTCACCCCCAACAAAAAGCCCCAAAAGCGTCCCCCACAGCCTCCTCCAAGCGTCCCCAGCCACCAGTCCTCCGGTTTTCCTCACCTCCCCGGCGTTCGTGCCGCGGGGGTGGACCTCTTCCGAAACTGGACATGGGACTAGGTGAAACGCCCAAGTGGTGCAGGGTTAGCACCACCCTCGCTAGGCGACCTGGGGGATGTCTCTGTCCATGCCGCCCGAGGGCGGCTCGGGTCTGCAGTTCGAGGGGATGTTGGCCACATCGTGTCTTGTGGATGGTTGGGTTCAGAACCCGGCGGAAGAGACACCGAACACCCAGCTGTGGTGGTTCTGGCTCAAATAGGTGGTTGATAGCAGAGCAGGGGTTGCGTGAGCCAGCGCTGGCGCGGTTGCTTGAAGATCCTTTTGAGCCAAACCTAAATAAGTCTTGGTTAAACCATGAATTGAATTGGCCTTTCCTTCAGAAAAGCCAAAAAAAATGCCCATTTGCTTTTGAGCTTGACACTGTGACCAATGCTTCGCAAGGGGTTCGCAGCGTGGCATCTGGTTTCCACTAGATCGCCCGCGCTGACAATCTGCTGGTTTGTTCTGCTCCGATTCAATGGCCAAGCAAAGATCTTTGTGGTCTTTTATGAGGGAATAAGAAGGCGCTGAACAAACCAAACCTCTGGGAAGTCATTTTTCCGTCGGCCTCCAACGTCAGCTCTCATTCTTCATTGGATTCTTTGCCGGATAGATCCAGTAAGGGCGTGTAGACCGAGAACCAGGCCTCCTCTGCTGACCAGGCCCACCTGGTCGGTTAGCACAAGACCAGGTCTGACCAAAAGAAGTGTCTTCAAAACCAAAGTGGCGCTCTTAGTTAGAGTGGTTGTCCTGAAACCCGTGGAGGTCTGTGGAAACCTTCCTCTTTTGCGAAGACAAGGGGCGCAGAAATCGGAGAAATAAATCGTTCTACTCACAAACCCATCAAAAGGAACTGGCAGGGATTCCCTGCCGCAAGTTAAACACTCACCACAGAGACCATTTCCCAGAGCTACAAAGTGGTGTCATTCAGTTGATTTTACTCCCACACAACATGGCGCAACCAACTGGTAGAGAACTCAACTTCAACCCCTTTTCATTAGCTTGCTATGTTGGTATTGTCATAAATCCTCCTGATCTCCTTTGTGACAAACAAGGTTTGTCGAAAATTGATATGTCTCCTTCTCAGAAGGAGACCTTTTGATTTCACAGAGAGTAAGGGCTGAAAGGGCTGAGGAAGGACATTTCGCTACCTCTTTCTCTACCAAAGGCGTTAATGCCGGTGACTAGCCAACACGGATTTACCGGTTCTGCAGCGCATGGAAAACACGTAGTGTCTGGTGCGCTTCCGTCACTTTTGAGCCAAATGTGAGGCTTTGGGGTCATTGCCTGGTAGGAGCCAATTCAGAAAATTTGGGGCAAAAAAATGGCGACCTACAAAAACCGGCAAAACCCCGGTGAACCGTGACCCCCGACAGATCCCGGTTTCCCGGGAATTGGTGAAGCGACCAACGGATGGGTGATGCTCTGGCAGGTGGTGGCGAAACTGCCGAATTTCCCCAACATCCCAAGTAGGGCGATGAAGGGGCGAACACTTATGGCTCGAACAACGAAACAAACATGATCTCGAGATTTCGAGCAAGCACCGGTTAGAAGCTAGGTATCATCTTGCCAAACAACCTGCAGACTTTGACCTTCGGCAGGGACTTCAACCAGAGCTTGGAAGGCATCACCTTGCCAAACAGCCTGCAAATGTTGACCTTCGATCACTGCTTTGCAATCGCTTCATATCAAATTAAAACAAAACCTCCGCTTTGCAATCACTGCTGACCTATAAACCAAACGAGTGAAGGTCAAGGTTTCCAACCGATGGCGGATGACCATCCGTCAAACCGCACTGAAGGTGACCAGAATCAGCAAAAATTGGCGTATTATGGCGTACTCTTTCTCAGGGTTCCACCGCTTTTGGGGGGAGCGACTCCCCCATGTTGTTCCTTTCATTCGGTGCCAGGTTGCACATGCAAGATACTGATGAAGAAGCACTCAATACCTCAAAGCAACGCATGACATAATAAGCTGCGATGGGCGACGGGCATGCAATCTTTTTGAAAATGCACTTAGCTTAAAATTGTCGTTTGGAGAAAATAGTTTTAGGGTGAACAAGCTGCGCTATTTGTTGGAGCGTGGACCGTTTCCCCCAAACAGTGTGTCCACACTAGGGCTTCTTACGGTGATTAGCTGTTAAGGACGGGTGTCTGATTGAGGTGCTCTTCGGGACTGTGCTGCAGGAGATCGGAGTGGCAGGGCTGCGCGATGTGAATATTGATGTGCAGAAGTCGTGGCAGGCGCAGTGCCTTGTGGACCTTGACGTGCACATTTCGTGGCAGGCGCAGTGCCTTGTGGGCCTTGAAGTGCAGATTTCGTGGCAAGAGCAGCGCTTTGTGAGCCTTCAAGTGTAGATTTCGTGGCAGACTTAGTACTTTGTCGACCTTGAAGTGCAGATTCCATCTCCACCACTGCCATCACCATCACCACCATCAATCACCACCACTATCACCACCTTCATCACCATCACCATCACCACCGTCACCACCACCACCGCCGCCACCACCTATACCACCATCACCACCATCAACATCATCATCACCACCTTCATCACTAACATCAGCAACATCACCATCATCATTACCTCATCACCATCGTCACCACCACCATCACCATCATCTCCACCACCATCACCACCACCATCATCACCAGCGCCATCACCAACACCGTCATCACCACCATCAACATCATCATCACTACCATCATCACCACACCACCAACACCATCACCACCATCACCTCTCTCTGGAGCCCAGTGCGTCTAAATCCAGTGCGTCTAGATCTCTAGACCTTCTGCTTCTACACCTCTAGACCTTAGACCTTCAGACTGACTGTTTGTGGTCTCTTGTGGGGACAATTGTTGGAAAAACAAGAAACTGGTTAAACCATGCTTTTCAAAAATGGAAACCATGCGATGTCTGTTGGGTCCTGCTTGCGTGAAGGGTTGGGTGGCGCGCAAAAGCACGCGCAAGTGCACCCGCGCAAGTAGGCCATTTTTCTAAAGGGCCAATAGGGTGCATGTCCGCGGGTAAAGCCAATGGTGCCACTGACATCACTGGAATCCTTTGAGTCGAGTACTTCCCACTGGCACAGCATTGTGGAAGTGCAAAAAGAAAGACACGAAAAGACTCTAAAAGCACACACAGCCTATGTTACTAGTATTTTTGGGGGACACGTCAGATAGGCTTGTGGTCCGGACAAATCCCCTCAGAATCGATCGAAAACACGGCCGTTTTGGACCGCGACGAACCATTCCGTTGGCACGCAGGGACTCTGGCGACCTGTGTCCGTTTGAGACACAGAAAAGGATAGGATTCACTGAAATTCGGACCTGAGATGAATCATGAGCTTCTATTCAGGCCAAGATGGGAGCTTCTGCAGCAACCCGTTCTCTGTCAGGGCCATACATGTTCCGGTCTGAGAAGGGAAGAGGGTGCGCTCTAGCGCTCTAGTCAATCGAATTCTACTCAAAACAAACTAACCATTCAGTGACCTCTCTCTTGAAGAAAAGATACTGGAGCCCCGGCCAGGTACGTGTTGAACCCTTTAAAAAGGCACGCGTGAAAAAAGCCGTCACCCACTGCGGCGGTCCCAAAACGACCCAAAGGCGGCGGTCGGAGCCGAAGGGGCAGAGGAGCGAAGCATAGAGGAGATTCGCGCGGGTATAGGACCACCAGCAGAAGGGTGGGCAGGCCGCTAATGCCATGGATTGCAAAAAGGCGATGGTGACAATAATCCTCGGCATGGATGGCAACCCTAAGGCGATGGTGACAATAATCCTCGGCATGGATGGCAACCCTAACCGGCACGTGCTACCGGCACACCTGAAAGCAAATGCTGCGCGCTGGTAGGGCACGTCTGAAAGCGGGCGACATCACGGTGATGCTGCGCGTCTGATGCTGCTGTCAGTGATTCACGTGTGTATTTGGACTTCAACATGAGTATGGGTACAAGTCAAAGATCCATCTGGAGGAAAGTCTACCAGCTTGAATGCTTATCATACGTAATTCCTTCAATTCGTTCTTATCATGTCTCCCTTCAAACACCGGCATCACATTGGCTTCAGGTTTGTGGGCCATGCTTTCCCTAAACCCACCCAGTCGAGGGGTACTCCCACAAAAACGTCACCAATTGCTGACAACCCCCACCAGAATGGTCCGTTCCGTCCAGGCAGCGTCCCTGTGGAAAAAAGAAATCGTGTTCATCCACGGTCACATCTTGAAGTCTTCAACAAGAAGCTACTAGAAACAAGTGCCTTACTAGTAGTAACAATAAAGCTATAGTAGTAACAAGCGCCACGCTAGTAGTAACAAGTGCTACTGCGTCCATTTCCGATGCGTTGAAGAGTATTCTTGTATCCAGCGCAAGTCTTCATCAATCTGGGTCGGACTGGACTGACCATCGTCCGACCTCCGACTCCTCCAACGGTCGTCTCTCCAAGGTTCTTGGTCCCGAGGAACTTGTGGATTGGCTTAAAGTCATGCAGCTGCGCTCGGAATCCTCACCCATCTGCTTGTGGTTCGCTCCAGATTCCAAGGGCGAAAAAAAGAGTATACTTGCTCTCTTTGTTCCAGAGCTTCTCCTTTTTTGGGCCCAGGTTTCTCCCAATTTCTTCCAAGGTTTTGCGGGGATATAGGGGAAATGCTTCCTGATGGTCCGATGCATCGGTGCGATTCTTCCCGGTAGGTGAAATCATGTTCACAGCTGGCATATGACGAATCCCGGGATAGCATGGGGAAGATCATACCAGCGCAAGTTTACAAGATTATTCAAGCAAAACCGTAATGTGATGTCTTGGGCAGGTCGAACCAAGCCCTCCAGGGCCTTCTATTGATCATGAATGCTCGACTCCATGCTGATCGATCAATAATTCTACCTTGCTAACTGTCCGCTTCCTTCGTAGAATAGACTCAAGGTAGCTCTTTTGGAAGCTACCTCTCGCAAAACGAGCTAGCTATGAGTTGTGAGTTATGACAAAGGACTCCCCCTCACAAGGTCTTTTGGAGTAGGTACTTGACCTGGCTTGCCTGCCCCACTTCCCGCGGAGTGGGGCTGCCCCACTTCCCTCACGTTGCTTGCATCCCAGTGGTTTAACCTCCCGATGCTCTGATCGGAATTCCTTGCCCAAGATACCCAAAAGAATATGAGGAAAACCCTGATTAGAATACATGGAACGACTATGAACGACTGCTTCCCCATCTGCTGGTCACACCACCCACCCACCCCGCGTACCTGCCGTACCGTCGCCTCACGGTCCCCCGGTCCTCGCTCCACCTCGATGAGGTTGCCAATGGCGGCAAAGGAGGCGATGAATCCTGCGGGCCGACCGTGTGAAGTGATGTCCCTGTGAAGTCTCTGGCGGAGAAAAACACACCCTAAAGGCCAAAAGATGGAGGGCACGGCATCTAGTTATCTTTCCACAAAGGAATCCCTTCATCTTTGTTCCTAGGAATCCCTGCATGGCTTGTGCATGGCTGGTGTGTTTCTTGGGATCGGTTTCGGTTTCGGTTCTTCCTCACCTCAGCTTCCTCACCGAGACCGTCGGAAGCCGCGGTGTCCGGACGTCGAGGGCCTGGTGGTTTTGCCGACGTCGACGTGGTTTGCAGAAGCGATGTTCACGACCTACCAGTCGCGATCCGCCGTGCCAGACTTTCCGTGTGGTTTCGGGTGTGCCCTGGAGTTCCAGATCCAGTTCCAGTTCCAAGCAGGAGTTCCAGTTCAAGTTCATGTTCCAGTTACACTCTGACTCGCTCACATGGAAGTGGAAAATGATCCCTTGGAAGACTTTCCTTTCCTTTACGAACGGGTGCTTTTCCACGATCACGAAGTGATGTGTTCGGAGTGTAAGGTGGGGTACACTGAGATAGGGAGTATCCTCTAACTATCCCCTGGTTGTAGGACAAGTGAGCAACGAGGAACACCCATGGACCGCCTTACTTCCGCAGCCGAAGGGAGGCGGAGGATGAGCGTCTCATAAAGAAAGAACACGGACTGAACTGGTTGTAGAAAGACAGGTTCCTGTCGCATTTTGGATACTTCCTCTTGCTCTTCTTCAGAAATAGATAGCTATAGTCTATAGTGTGGCTTTTCTGCAGTGGCTTGAGGCCACAAGACGAGCTACTCCGAAAGCTGGGTGGAGGCCATCGTAAGTAGGTTGGCGGCCATCGCTACTAGTAACTAGAAGCTTCCTTGGGAATCGTTTCAGCTTAGTAAAACAGCTGGTTGTTCATGGTTGTTCATAATGGTTGGAATCCTAGGGCAGGAGTCCTCTCAAGATGCCAGTTGATGGATGGTTTTGTTGTCCAGAAAGCACTTCACCATCTAAAGCGCAACAGACCCCCACATTCCATTGTCAAAAAACAGTGGGATGTGGTGTTTGGATGTTGATCCCTCCAGTGTCAGAAAGTTGCCCTGCACGCCAACAAAACTTAACACCAAGAAATGTAAACATGGTCCTGCACCGTAGAAGGTGTAGTGCAGCATGCTCTTGACCTTTTCCTTGGAAGGCGGTGTTGCGCTTCTATGCGGGGAAAAAACAAACGTTCATCTTGATCAGCTGGATCGTGGTGGTGTGCGAAGAAACATGACAAAATGCTTGTCGATTTTGATATCTTCAGGAGTACAAAGTCTTCGGAACCAGCTGAGATAAGCTGAAGAGAAGGCCCCAGAGAAGGCGAAAGGGGAGCATTCGGAATGTTTTCAGGCATGTGATATAGGAGAAACGAAGGTGTGGCTGCAGAAGCTGTTGCTTGTTCATTTCGCTTTAGTGAGCAGTTGCATCCAAAGCCCTGCATGCCGGCGAGTAACCAAAAACGTCCAAATACATGGATGAAATGCACATGATTTAAATACTGATCAACCCCCCTAAAAAGATATGACAAAAAGGCTTAGCACCAGCCGGCCTGGAAACGCGAAAGCCGTTCCCGGCAATCCGTCCGGTCGCCGCACAGGCTCCACGCTCCACTGGACTTCGTGTTCGCCCAGGCTCTGTCTGCAAGATCCCAGGCTTTTGAGTATGACACCCAGCGCCAAAAAGGCTCTCCTTAAAGTGATAATAGGCGGCCTCGGTCACAAGGCGAGTACAGGCGCGAGCGTCGAGCGTCGAGCGGTGGCTCGAAAGCGACCGGGCGTCGCTAGGACAATATAGTGCCGGCCCGTCGAGCACGGTGTGCTCGAACAAAGGGGTGTTGAGCGAACAAAGGGAAGGCGGTCGTTCAATTGGGCCTCTCCACCCTAGTAGCTTCTTGCTAATAGTAATGGCCTCCAACCCAATAGCAAAGGGAACCATGTTTCCCACTTGCGGGTTGAACACCCGTTCAAGACCCCACGTACGCGCGGTCCGAAGGTCTGTCACAAGATCCGTTCGTGTACTTTGCAACGCGGTGGACGTCGACACGCCGATTCTGAGCCAAGCCAAGGCAAGGTGACATCTGGGCTTGGTGTTGGACACTAAGGTGGAGAACTCATGCCCAACCATCGATGAGGCATTGATTTGGAACCCGGGGTATTCGGAGCCAAGGATCCGTCAGAGCTCTCTGAGGGTCTCTCTCTGCTGGTGCTATTGGGTAGTCTGCTGGTGCTATCGAGTTTTCGACTTCCGTGCTGCTCCCAACGACAACAGCTTCCAAGGTGCACAGTTCACGCCCACACCATAGATGGCTTGACCTGCACCTGATGTCCGCTGGCACCAGAGGTGGTTCTCTGCCCCACGTCCTTTCACGTCTCTGGACTCCACTCCGGTGATTCGACCAATGAAGTGGTCGTCCCCGAACCACGGGGCGTCGAAGAAAAACACGAACCAAACAGAAGGTGATTCGAATTGTCCATCAACCACCCCACCCGAGCCGCGGGTGGGGTAGAGGAATTGGCACTCCGCCAACCAACGAACTCAACCAAAAACCATCCAAAATCCGTCTGATCAGCTCCAAAGGCCCTCGAAATCGAAGTTTTGGAGTGCGCCACGCTGCGCAAAACACCACCTTCAAGTCCAGGCCGCACGTGGCGCAGAAGAGCTTGATGCCCAAGATCGTTAGACCTGGCATAACTCCTTCGGGTAAGAAGCAACCCGTTTAGGATTCAGGATGAAGTCTGTTCCCTCAAAGAACATTCCGTTGAAGTTCTCAAGTTGGGTCGGGTTAAAGCACAAAACGCATGGGGGTGGGGATTCTGAGTCCTCTTCCATTCATCCATTCTTGGGGAGAACCCGCAGACCCACTGACGCCGAAGAAAACATCTTCTTAACTGAATCAAAAGCCCAAGTGGTGTGGCTTCGTTTTGGAACCCTGGAAAGGGGGCCAAACCCAGCTGGCTCCCCCCAAGAAAGGCGCAGCCTTTCGTCTGGCCAAGCAAGACCTTAGAGCCGGTTTCTTTTTGGTCACGAAAGGGCCTGTGGTCAATGAGGACCTCCAGAAAGGTCACGAACTAGAGAAGCAAAACTTTGGTCATGTGGGTATATTATATGACTTAGGGCAATATCTATATAGATGTTCTATGCCTACGCGGTTTCCCTACGAGTTTTATGAGAGATTTTGGGGCCACAGAAACGACCAACAACTTAAAAAAACGATCATTTATACTATTGATCGAATAACAATGATAAATAGTAGTGGTAGTAGTAGTCATAATAGTTTAAACCAAATTGTTTAAAATTATATGGCCTTCATGGGATATCCATAAGATCACTGAGCGGGCCTCATCTCAGGCAAACCCCAAACATATTGGCAACTCAGAGAGTCAATGACTACGCAACAAATGATAAAAACGAGTTCTTCCCCGATCAAAGGAATTTGGGTGCCAATCTAGTGAGCTCCCATGGACAGTTCCCAAAAATACCAGTCGGGCCGACCAAACATTCTGTGTTCGTGGCTTCCAACGTGACTTGTTGCAAAAAGGAACACACAAAAACCGCTCCAAAAGATGGCCGATGGAAAGTCCAAAGCCTGGGGTCGGCAGCTAGGACTGACGATCGGCACCTAGCCATGTCATCATCCAAAGCCATGTCCAGATCGCTGAGCGAGCTGGTTTCATCGCCCATGGGTGTTCATGCTGATGAGTCTGGGAGGATGTCCAGTCTCCAAAAAGCATAGTGTAAATAAATCGGGACTTTCCGGTGACCGGAGAGAAAAACTCACCGAGCCCCATGGGTTTGTTGATGCCAGTGCCAGTATTCAGCCACCTTCTTCGATCATATGCCCACCAACACCCAGCCAGCATCTACCTTCACCACCCTTCACCACCCTGCCCCCAGCCGAAGAAAGAACCCCCCCAACCAACCCTTCCAACCAACCCTGCCTTCCTTTGCATCCCAAGTGGCTCTGAAAGAATCCGACATCTCGGAGAAGGAATCCGAGGCCCGAGGCACTTGGTTCGTCTTCAACGCATCCTGCGCCTCCATCATCCCTGGTCGACAGACACGTGGCGCGGAGCAGGGTGGATGGGCGGTGGAGCAGTGGCTCCAGTCCATTTTTTTCAATGGAAACCAATGTTAAGAATCACTCTGTAAAGGGAATTGCCCACTCATCATGCAGCCCCCCTGAATTGAAAACAAACCTATTGGGATTGGAAAACCTCTTCATATGGGGGTCTCTCTGTTTGAGGGTGTTCACACTACGCACAGGGAATTTCAATGTTTGTTGCTTGTATATATGTACCTGTGTGTTGTTTTCGGTGTGTTTGCTTGGGGGCGTTCAGCTGAGCTAAACGTGGTCCGTCGAGACCGACCGGGTCCACCCCGCTGGCACCTCGCCGCAGTCGCTGGCTGAGGTACTCCAAGACGATGAGCCCAAAGGTGAACAGCGCGTAGGACTCGTACCTCGAGAACGACGAGGGACCGGACCCGGGTCCCTCCGGTCCCTCCGGTCCGAAGGTCTTTTCACCGGGCTCTTCTGGTCGACGGTAGACGGTAGACGGTCGTAGTGCGGGTGTGGTGCCGACCTACCCCAGACACTGTATGGCATATCTGCCGATCAGTTGGGGTGGTTTCAGGGGTCAATGTATGTGAATATGCCATACATGGAGTGTCTGGGTACGGCCGTATCCGGCCATATATGTGTAGCGACGTGCCCTCGGTACCGACCTTCATGATGTGTCTAGATCGAAAAAGCAGAGCCCCACGAAACATGCCTCGGAAGCCGTGCCGCTATCTATTTGGGGACCACCCAGCCCTGAAGGCGAGTGGAGCCCATCTGGCCTGGAGATGGTTGAGAACGCCCGCTGTTTGTCTTTTGGGGGGTTCCGGGGCCGTCGGAACAATCTACAAACATAGACGCCGCGAAAAGAGAGAGAGAGAGAGGGAGAGAGAGAGAGAGAGAACCGCGTCCAGAAAAACTCCCGGGCGCCAACTGAGCTTGCTCTTGCCAAGAGTTCAAACATGTCCATGTCCATGTCCATCAGCGATGGAACCAGAAAACCAAGAACGAACGGACCTGTGTCCATCGCCGCCTCTCCACCTACCGAAACAACTTCCGCAAATTCCGCGCCAAATTGCAGATCGCCGAGCCAAAAGCAGGCGTCGTAACCTGGGGCGGAGACCAAGCACTGAGTCGGCATGCAGAGTCCGAGTCGGCATTCAGAGTCCGTGCACTCTGCTGGACACCACTGATGCTTCTCTGCTTTGAACTTGGAGCTTTCCAGCCATCTCTTCAGACTCGTCGGACTGGTCGATGACGTAAAAAACCCTGCTCAACTCGGGTCAGGGTCAGCCATCAGAGTTCTCTGAACCACCTGTTTGGACCGGTCGCAGGTCGCATCAGGTCGCATCTGCCAAGGGTCTATCCATCAAGAAGTGCTTCCGCAAGGGGAAGGACTCGAAATGATTCGAGTCAGCGGAGTTGTTCACCGTGACGCCCCACCTCAGGTGGTGGTTCGCGCGCCGCTTCTCCACACGTGGTGTCCGTTTCTGGGCGTTTTGGGAGACAGCAAAAACAGAATTGGTGTGAAAAACATACTTAAGCTTATTTGGGCTTGTTGGGGTGACTGCTGGGTTCATCCAAGCGCTGAAGCGCTGCTTCTTCCGTAACAAGTGACCATCACTTGAGATCCCAGTCGTGGTTCCATCACGAGTAGCCTTTGGTTCAGATCACTGGCAGTGACCACGTCTTCTTGTTTAAGCTTGTTGGCGTCCACCAGGTCAAGAGGGTGTCAGTGTACATCAGTGTACGCATGCACGCGCACACACAAACACATTGACATATATATAGACATCATACACGATCCTCAATCAACAAGACTTCACGAATTCACGAAACATGGTTCTGAAGAACTTCAAAGAGAGTCAAAAAACGCACCCCAGTCACGCTCCGTGAATTCCTGCTTCTTCAAAGTGTCCTTTGGATGGTCCCAGTGACCCTTCAAAGGCTGACCGAAGCACCCGGGATCTCAAGTCGGGTCACGAACGGAAGAAAACCACGCGCCGCGACACGGAAAGCACTCCCTCTGTCCCTCTGTCAACATGCGCGCGAACATGCGGCGAGCTGTCGGGCGCGACCATCCGCATGTCCAAGAGACATCCGCACGACCCCTTGGCATGACATCACGCCATAGAAGAGCCTCGTCAAACCCGGGAGTCCCATGCGATGCACGGCGTCCACCGCGAGGACTCGCGGAGGACTCGCGGTGGAGCGCAGCGCCCGGTCGATGCCGAGTTCGCGACAGATCCGGGTTTCGAAGGGGGCCAGTGAAGCAAAACCACTAGAAAACAATGGAAACAATGGAAAACAATGAATGAAGGAGGCCGGAAAATCTCTCATCTCCACTTCCAAGCAACACTAAGAGCAAAAGGAATCCTTCAGATGAAAGGTATGTTGATTCACCTGTAGATGAGTGTCTACACATCTTGAGGCAAATCACCGGGAATGTGCGGGTGAAGGCTGTCCATTGTGTTCACTATTGGTTCTTTGGGGGCTCTACTGCTACTAGTCAACGGCTCTACTGCTTTGGCCAGATGGATTTGGACGAAGTGGCTGGGCCCCAAGAGGATGACCAGCCAGTCCGAGCTCTCCAAACTGGCGCCATCCACGTAACCCCCCCATGAGTATTTCAGGGAGTGTCTAGGGTTTTAGAGGTTGATTTTAGTGTTTCAGGGGAGCGTCTAGGGCTTTAGTACTTCATTGATTTCAGTGTTTCTTCCAATTTTGCTGTCAGCAACCGGGAGCAGAGGAACTCCTGCAGTCCCAAAAACACGACCATCACCACCCGCCAGCTTCAAAGGCTCCAGGATCATCTCAAGATGTACTGATCCCCGAAAAAAACCGTCAAGCAAAACATCCGAAACCAACGGGTGTCCTGAGACAGGGGTGTATAGTTGGTGTAGTTGAGGGCCGTGCAAACGCCGCCCCTAAGCCAAACCGACCGGTCCGTGTCCAAATTCCAAGGACAGAGTGACATCGATCCGAGTTTTGGTAACGAAACCACTCACGTACCAGGACCGAAACCAAGTCTGGTGGTGTTTCGACCCAAATCACCTCATGTTGAGGCTAGTAACAAGCAGCTTCCTTGCGAATCGTTTCATTGGGAATCGTTTCACCTGTAGTAACAAGAAGCTTTATAGTATGTCTTTGAAGCTTCTTGGTAACCCCTTACTACTAGTGGTGCTTCCTTGGGAATCACTTCACCGTAACAAAGAACCATGGTCTTCGACGCTTCCGCCAGCGCCACCGTCGCCAGCTCCGAGCGACGGCAGAATGAGGATGCGAAGAGTCCGGTCGTGCGTTTCGAAGGTGTGCTCTTCATCGGCTCGACCCCTGACAGTCGGGGGAAGTCAGGGAAGTCGGGGACGTGTTTCACCCGGAAGGAGACGGAGACCAGCGAAGGAAGATGGAAAGAAACGATAGGGATGTTTTAGAGAAATTTAATGGAATACGTGAAGTCTTCGCTCCAACATATATGAAAACAGGAAGTTCGTGTTGATTTGTGGTCTCTCTGCATGTATATATGCTGTATACTCAAAAAAAGAAAAACGACGTCGTGATCCTTCCTGGATAGGCACTTCCAACCACCGCGACGTCGACGAACGGGTTTCTCGGTCTTGGATCACTTCGGGGCGAGCGACCCGCAATGAAGCTTGGGGGAAGCAAACTCTATGAATCACATGAAGCCCAGCAGACTCTTGACCCCAGCCCCACGCCTTGATGAACAATGCGCGCAGAGTCCCAGTCACCCCAGTCGCCGCGTTTCACTCGCGCCAGATGAAGGTGACGCTCCATCCGCGTTTCCACGCGCGTGTCGCGTCGTGTCGATTTGTCTCGTCCAGGACGAGACTACATTGGAGGTCCACCAGGCAGTTTGGGGCTCCGGGTGACCCACAGCCACCTCCAACCTGAAGCTCGCTTTTGCTTCAACAAAAACCCAAAGGTGGAGTGATCAGAGTCATCCGGACAACGGGTGCGTTTCAACATGGGCCAGTCACGTCACGAGTCCATCGCCGCCGAAACAACGAACTCCGAAGACCCCGACCTGACCCTCAGAACATCGTCTCTCGTCTCACCGTGGAAGGGACTCCATCACTTCCACCTCCATCGATCGCCAGACCGATTCCACCCGGTGGAAACCGAGTTGAAAGGCCGTCCGCCTCTTCCACCAGACCAGCTTCTTGAGATGCTGAATGGTGTGAACGATGCACACGGCGTAGGTGGCCTGGATGTGTGAGATCGAAGAATGCCATGCTACGATCAGCACGTGCCCGTTCAGCACGTGGCCGCGATAGTCGGGTTTCCACCGCCCCACGCGGAATGCCATGCCACTCGCACGTTCCGCGCGAGTGGAGGGGAGTGAGAGGACGCTTGTGGGAGGTGCTGCGACGATGTGAGAACTCGGCCGCCTGCAAGGACTAGAAGGTCGACGGTCTACCAGCACCGAACCCAACAGGTCTCCGAAATGGAGGGTTGTTAGGGGTCTAAGAGGTCTCAATTGGTGACCTGTTGGAGGTGGTGCTGGTAGAAGAAACTCAGCTCTTTGGATCGAAATTTCAGGGTTCTGCAGGTCCACAGAACAAACGAAACGGATCCTTTGTTGGTGCCCCACACTGGCGTAGATAGACCTACACATTGGGGTTTATGAAAAGGCATGGAGTCTCAATCCAAACAAAGGAATCTCTCTCCCAGCGGGGTTCCAAAGGAGCTCTTTGAGAAAAACATTTACCCCGTCACGGCTACCCATGTTGGAACCTCAAAATAGGCATCCCATGTTGGAACGTGTTCAAACCTCGTACCAAGGCCCGTCAAATACACACACCCCGAATCACCAAAATCAAACCGGGGCGATGATGGCCCGGACACCAAAGGAATTTGGCCCGGGGCCCGTTTGAGACTGAACGGAACGGCCGTTCCGTCATACAAAACGGGAGTTGAACCTCTTACTAACCTACTCAAAAACTACTTCAAACTTATTACAGTAAAAACCTAATCAAATCCTCGTTGAAAACCTCATCCAAAAAGCACGACTGGGTTTCACTGTGGGCTCTATGGACTCTATGAACCTGGGTCAAATCTCCGATGAGACCTGGGTTCCTGTCTGAAAAGAGAAACCACCTCCGTTCCATGCCGGGGGGGGAGGGAACAGCGCGGAGCGGTCGCTGCGGTGGACACGTTTGGTGCGGTGGACACGTCGTCTGAAGGTTCCCGCTGTGGGGGTTCCCCGTATTGGATCCGAGACCAAGGAACAGCGGTGATGAGCTTCAACAGGTCAAGGGTTGTAACATGTGTTCCTCCTCAACAAGTCATGGCCAGGCTCGTTCCACGCCAAGTCGGTCGTCCAAAGAGGTCCGACCGGTGGTCCCGTTTCGTCGGGTTTGGAACAGCGAGACGATGACCTAGATCGAAGCCCCACACAGCATTTCGTGGTGGTGATACACCCTTTACTTTTGAAGATATACGTGGAATTACGTGGATATGTTCCTGATGATTTTACGAAATTTGTTTTAGTTTCGAGAAGCATGGAGAAGCAAATGAGCTTCTTCGCCCCAATCAACTCATCTGGCTCCCTCCACGGAGTGTCTGACTCCCCCCCCCCAAACGGGGCCGCCTTGACTCGGAGACTCGCTCAACACACCGAGCCCGTCGGATTCGCCGAACGCCGCCCCTTGAATATCCCAGCAGCCCAGCGGCTTAAGGCGCGAAGCAAAGGAAACCAAGAAAACCCACAGCTCTCTTCGCGTTCTCTTTTGGGGTCGCAGAAATTGATTTTCTTTGATGACCCCCACATCGACGTAGGTTTCTGGGGCTCCCAACCACCATGAAGAGCGGGCAACTCATTGAAACGTAGCGCAGCACCGGGTAGTCGCTTAAGCTATCCTCCTTCGTCCGACAAGAAGACTCCGACATGTCGATCCGCGGGGGGCAAACCCTGTCGATCCTCAGGTCGGGTTCGCCCGGGCGGCCGGTGGTGGCGGAGCGAGGCCGTTCCTCGCGTGGGGTGGGTCCGTCTGGCCGGCTGAAGTCATGGCTTTTTGCTGAAATAGGTCGTCTGAATAGGGATGAACTAAGGGTGTCTATGGCCTAAATCTGCTGTCCCGCAAGTCTTGTGACTCAATTGTTCTAGACTTAGACCCCCTTCAGCCCAGATGCCACAGTTCTCCAGCACTATATGAAAACCTTCCACTTCCCAATCTGCTGACGGCTGGCGGTCACGAAAGCATGATTGACTGGGTTTGGAGATTTAGGACCTTTCATGTAGTAAGAATTGGCTCTCCAGTCACAAACCAGCTTCAACAAACCTGAACTCCTTCCTTGCAAGAACATCATACTTCATATGAATGCCTTCTCAAAATAGCTCGGTTGATCTCACTACCCCCAGACCTTCCCACGCTCCAAACGTTCCAAACGCGCCAAACACGGAGCGGCTTGGCGGGAGCGGGTGGCCTCTCTCCAAACGTCCAAACTGACGGTGTCATTCTCCAAACGCATCCGCTCCATCACAAAGCCCTCCACGGTCTCCGGCCTCAGCCAACCTGGTCGGAGACCAAAGACCCTCCTTGGGGACTTAGGAGTCGGTGGGGATGGGTACCATGGGCTTGGAAATGAGACCAAGAATTGCTGCTGAAAGGATGCGAAGCCTAAATGCCGATGAACAATGTATATAATCTCTTATATATATATACCCAGATCTTCCAACTGTGCAATATGTCTGCCTTTTCCATCTATAACACCAGCCAAAAGGCAAACATCTTGCATATTTGGATGTATTTTATATATATATATATATGCATTTGTATATGTGTATATTATATATACACACACTCACCCCCTATGTCTACATGGTCTCCATCCGATTGCGTGCGTCCGATTGTCGTCCAAGTTCGGCACCAAGTTGTCTCGCTGCCCTTCGACCTGGTCGCTTCAAATCACTTCTCCTTCACCTTCTTCGAAGAGAAACATCCCTCATCCACTGGCACCCTCCTATCGGTACGGTGAGGACGGAGACACTATGATGAGACGGTGCCATACTGTCGGGTCCAGTCGTACCGAACCTCATGTGCGGTACGACTGGATCCCGTTCGCCAGAACGCCAACTCCGACGTCGGCCGACCTGAGGGCAGACACACATCGACCACGGCCGAGATGAGGCAAGAGGTCATGGCATAGAAAAGGAGTGCATAAACCTTGGCACGCGAGGAAAACAGGTGCATGCGTGACGTTTGGCTATTTCACTACCTATCTGACAGCATCAATTCTCACATGTGTTTCTATCTACAAGCATACATCTCTATGTTCTCTTGACCTTGCTTCCTGTATATATATATATATATATGTATATAATGATACACTATTGGTGGATGCGTTTGTGGTATAGAGTATAGAGTTGCAAGAGTAGCTTGACGTGCAACAGCATAACTGTTGGACAGGTTCCCAGAGTGTGCAGGCAACTGTTCTATATATATATACAGTTTGGGTATATCCCATTCCCTGTAACAACAAATGATTATGACGATGATGATGATGATGATGATGATGATGATGATGATGATGGTTTGATCATCTTCTACCGACTTTTTTGCTGGTTTACCAGGACACGGCCCTATCTAAGCCTGTTAATCGTTGATGTGATGACATTGCCGCGGGACGGTTTCGCAGGATTCTACTCATGGGTGGCTAAAAAACCACAGCAGAGTTAGGAACCCCCAGTTATGGCCCAGTTGGATAACCCCCGCTTTTGTCTTGTGGAGACGGTAGAGACAGGACCCAACCAACTTTCAAGAGAGCTGGAAAGCGATGGTTTACAGTAACAGAAGACATTTGCTCCATGTCCATGCTTCAAACACATATATATATATATACCTACTATATCATTATATCATACTGTCCCAAAACCCAATGGAGAATCCATCTCAAAGAAGGGGCCCTATGGATCCACCTACCGATCCAGAGGTACGGTGGGCGATTGGAGACTGATGTCATACCTTCTGAGAAGGTCAGACGGGGGGGGAATCACTTGGTGCGGTCTCCAACTCCATCCCCTCTTGCAGGACCGGCTTTTCTTCGCAAGACTCTCACGGGTCTCGGAGTGAGGGATGAGCTTGGCCTCCAAGCTGGTAGGTCACAAACCAGCAGTCTTGTGTGAGACCGATAGACCGATAGTCCTGTTTTGGAAACGCTTTCAAGCCGAGAGTCCCAGAAAATGTAGTACCTCGGCTTGCCCCACTTCTCGCTTGGTGCCAACCGGTTGGGTCTTCGGGCTGCTCTCAACTCGCAAAGGCAAGTTCAGCTGAACTCCCCTTTCCGTGCATCACTCCCTTCACCCCTCCACACAAACCAGTGGCTTAGTAGAAGAAAACCAAGAAAACCCGTGGCTTCGTTTCCTTCACTTGGAAGAAGAAAACCAAGGCTTCTGTACCTGGCACCCTTCTGGTGTGCAGGGTGTCTCCAGTCATACGGAGTGGACACCAGCCCAAACCAGAAACTTCCGTCTAAACCAGGGAGATCTCTAGCAAGTCAAAACACCTCCCGCTCGGAATCGAAGTGGTTGTTCACCACCTGTTTCGGATGGCCCCGGGAGATCGAGTGCCGCACGAGTGGCGAGTGACGAGTGGAAAAAGAGCGCCGGGTTTTGGGGGGTGTTTTGGAGTGGCGATCTTCTTCTTTCGTCTGATCTCTCTATACTTTTTGCACGAAGTATCCCTTCAGTTCATTCGGCTCCCCTCCGACGGGTCTCGACAAGTGTCGAGACCGAGTCAAGCGTTGACTCTCCTAGATGATCCGGTGGCAAACCCAAAAAGACACCACAAATGACCAGTACCCGACTCAGAAAAGCAACATCTGAGAGTTTGGAAACCCAAGGACCTTTGACTTGAGAGTTTGATGAAAATACCACAGATGCCGTTGTCCTTTTCCCCCAGATGCTTTTTTCCTGAACGCGGGTGTGGCAAAAAGGAAAACAAATCAATCTCTATAAAAAGAGGACAGAAATGACTTGCAGCTCGCTGTTTTGCAGTCCTGTGCAGTTCCTCCCAGCTGGACCTCTAACCTCCAGCACTATCTATGCGCTATACACGTACGCACGCTACGCACCAACACTCCCGCTCGCCATGCGCGCCATGCGTCAGAAACCAGGGCCACTCCCGCTCGCTGCGTCGGAAGCGTTTGCCCATCCTGAGAAGACCGAGGACGAAGGATGAGACCGCGACGAGGACAAAGGCGTTGGTCGTGCGAGCAGGGTTTCAAGCAGCGGAGTTCAAAGCCTGGAAACCAAGGCAGCGGATGATACCTCTCCCTATAATTAGGTCAGTTTGACCTCATTTTACTGGACATGGTCATACCAAAACACTACTTAAGGATGCAAAGAACCAGGTTCTACTGGGTGTTTGGACTTGTAGGGCTTTCTACAGTGGAAAACCTGCTGTACTGCTTTGGCCACAAATGCGTGATACGCTGGAATTCTCGGGAATCCTGGATGGAAAATGCCACAAGACCCTAAAGAGGACCATGAAATCCGAAGACCAAACCAGATTGGTGCATTTCCATGGTGGTTCTATTGGAGGCCATCCTTCCTACGTTGGAGGCCATCGCTTCTAGGTTGGAGGCCATCGCTCCTAAATTGGAGGCCATCGCTAGAACGTTGGAGGCAATCGCTTCTAGGTTGGAGGCCATCGCTTCTAGGTTGGAGGCCCCTCGCTTCTAAGTTAGAGGCCATCGCTAGTAGGTTGGAGGCCATCGCTCCTAATTAGGTTGGAGGCCGTCGCTCCTAAGTTGGAGGCCATCGCTAGAAGGTTGGAGGCCATCGCTAGTAGCTCCTAATTAGGTTGGAGGCCGTCGCTCCTAAGTTGGAGGCCATCGCTAGAAGGTTGGAGGCCATCGCTAGTAGGTTGGAGGCCATCGCTTCTAGGTTGGAGGCCATCGCTATTAGGGTGGAGGCCCTTGCTAGTAGGTTCTAGGGAGTGTACTTCTCAAAAGTGTCAAAAGGCAGAGACCTGGTGTGGGCGGCCTGAGAATTCTTTACCACTCGCCCACTGCTTGTGGGGCTTTTTCAAAATGATACAACGGTTCTTGTGAGGGCTCATCTCTATAGAATTCCGAATTGCATAATGGTGACTCTGGGGTTGCTGTTGCAGCTCTTCTGCTGTTCTGCTACCGAAAGTGTCTGATCCTGACAACTTCACAGTGATAGTGGCAAAGAAACGTGTTCTGAGTCTTGATGATAAGCAGGCAAAAAATAGCGGACAAATCATCCAGTGCGTTTTCTCAACGACTGTGTGCGCCGAGCTTCACCCTGAGAAAGGTCACAAAACACCCACACACTGCGATGTAGCCCGGTGAGGCATAACGCAGCATGGCTAGACAAAAACCCGTTTAGGTTGGGTGTAGTGAGGCCGCGGGTTCTTGACCCCCAAAACGGATGAAATAAGATCAGCTGGTGATGCGTTGAGCAGCCGGTCCGGCGCTGTGAGGTCAGGGTAGGGTGGAAATTGCCCATGACTTGGCCGGGGTAGAGCTGTATGATGCTTGAAGTCTAAGATCCAGGGGCCTCGTCAATAGACTGGATGCCGGTGCAAAGTGGAAGGCTGCGCAATGCATCTCTACGAGACTTCTGTGTTTTGGGCCTTGAGAAGTCACACAGAATTCGCAGATTAGAACTGACTGGCAGGTGGAAAGGACAGTATGGAAAGGAAAGAAAACAGTAGACACCAAAACGCACCAAGCAATGGTTTGATACCCTAATGAGGGCCTGATTCACAACGACTCCCTATCCAAACCCTTGCATTTTGTGCGCCAACTTCTGGCTGCATGAATACACACCTTCCTTGCTAGTCACTGCGGTGCTCTTTGGGTGTGCTTGAAACGAAATCGATCCGTACAACAGATTCTGCTTGAAACTACCCCAAAAACGCAGTGCTGTGGACTGTAGGTGGTGTACTCCTGGTATGCTTCGTAGGGCTCCAACCAGACCCCCCCAACCCCACCCCTGTCCCATCTTCGAAACGGAGGTGCGACCGCGGACCACCGACCTGTGTCGGTCTTCGGCACCAGAACGGGACGACCGTGCCGTGGTTTGTCTCGGCGTTTTCGCGTCGTTGTTCTTTAGGAAAAGAAGCAGTTTAGGACCGGACCGGTCAACAGGAAGACCCTGTTTTAGGCGTTCCTTCCGACCTCTGGGAGAAATTCTAAAGACTGACTAAATCAATTGGGCCACGGAGGTCCCTCCATGAAAAAGTAAGCCCATATGGAAGAGTCATCGCACTCGTCGCACATCTGCACTCGTCGCGCCACTTTTCCAACCCCGCCAAGGGCGCGGCTGCTTCGGCGCCGCTGCTTCGACGCACGACGTGCGGTGCAAACTGGGGACGAGCTGAGCCAGAACGAGCTGGAGACCCTCGTTCTGGCTGAAGACTGGGTCTGAGGAAATCAAGCTATCGACAGACTGCTCGAGATTCAAGTCAATCAGACTAGACAAACTGTATTTGTTTCCCAAAGGATCCAAACACGCTTGGGGGCGACAGGGACTAGCGCGTCCCTGTGATCCACTTCGAGGAATTGGCAGTGGCACCAGACCGACGTTCGCTACGCCGAGCGATTTCGTTCGTCTAGACAAACGACCCAGACGGCACTGCACCGGACCGGGGCATTCCCAGTGGTGATGAGTCCATGGCCGATGAGTCCGTCCATCTTCACATCCAAAACTGGACATGTGACGAAAAATACCTTTTGCTCGTAACAGGTCCAGAGGCCTATTAGCTTGGAAAGAAACCCCAAACCGACATTCCCTCTACCCACCGACAAGCAAAACCTATTGTGCCAGTGCTTGTCTGCAGAACATGCAGATGGCCTTCCCACAGTTGCAGCCCCGCAGCGTCTTGAAGTTGCTTGAGATATCTTGCTGAGTCAGTATTGTGACACATCAACATTGCCTCAGGACTCCCTGGGAGTCCAAGGCCACTGTAACACAACGGTCTGACTCACAGTGATCCGAGTCTGTCCACGGAATGTCCAGCCCTGCTTTACTCTGGTGCCCCATGGCTGCCTGGACGGGCAGCCTCTGTCTAATCAAATGAATCGATCTCCCGTTCGCAGACCCGACCCCTTCATCGATTGGTCCAGTCTGTTTCTATCTCGACCGCATTGGGGGCCGAACGATGCTGTTTGAGGATCCCATTTAGCTGTTCCAAACGATGGTTTCAAAACCATGATGTCTCAATTCCACCATCCATTTTTGGGGGATCCAATCCGCCTCTCTCTTTCTCTCTGCCACAAAAAGCGGCTTTACTTCAATCAAGATTTGGGGGGCCCAAGTTACAGGTAGTCCTGTGGCGGATGTGGGCGTATCAACAAGCCTATTGCACAAAATTGTGGCATGGTAAATCTAAGCAGATTAACCACCCCCCGCAAGGGCATAAACCTTGAGGAAATTGTCCCTTCCTGTGCTTGGATTTAGCCGGACACCCTGATTAGCAACTGTTTGTTTGCTTCTCTTGTTCTGCCCAGACACGTGGCAAATCGATCATGATCTCCAGACTGTCAGACTGTCTTCCAACTGCCAAACTGTACATTCTACATCTTTGGTCCCGACAAACATGAGTGTCACCCGACACAATTGAACAAGCCGTCAGACACAAACAAGACACTCCTCACTCAGCAAGACGTCCAAAGCTTTGGGAAGATGCGATGCTCGAACGAAACTCCCACTCACCGTGAAAGGCTCGATAGGCAGAACGAGGTGCATGACAGAAAAAGCGTGTTTGTGTGTGTGTGTGTCCCTTTTCGTGCACCTGAGGAGTGCTCAGTCTAAAGTCTAGCGAGGTCGATAGGCAGCTGAGCACTTTGCGCCCCCACCATGATGGTCATCGCAACCTTTTCCATTGTTTTTGCTAAGGATTGCACTACAAAACCGGGTCGTTCCCAATTCGATCGCATGAGGATGAGGATGGCCACGTTTGTTTTTCCGGATGAGGATGCCTCTAAGCTACGCGTTTAAAACCGTATGAGCTACCCAAGCTCTGGGGAGTATCTAGAAGTTCCATTGCCGCTTTCCTGCTCTTCGCATCCCTCGCGCTGCTCTTCCTGGCGCCTTTTTGGTCGGGCCACGCCGACGTTGCGAAGGAAAAGAACTCGCCCGGTGCGACCGACTCCGCCCAGATGATTGGAGTGATGTCGGAGATGCTGATGATTGAGGCGACTGTCTCGAGACAGGGATGATTGCAAGAGGGTGAAGCGCCTGAAGCCTACATTGGCCTAAGATGGGGAGAATCTCAAAACATCTCAAAACCACATTCGACTTGCGCTTTTCAAGTGCGTTTCTGCTTTCTGTTTCGAGGGAAGGACTCCATTTGGCTGGGCTGATCCTGCAAATAAATAGATCCCCCGGTGGGTCTAGGGTGCAGATCAGACCACATCCCAACACCCCGGAGGGCGCGGGGGCGCTGCGATCCCCCAGCTCTCATGATCGGAGAAGAACAGAACACTGGAGTACTCCTCCTCTGGTCGTGATGAGTTTGGATGGTCACAACGCATGTCACCCATGTCCACGCCTCCTTTTGGACATCTTACTTGGGGCACCCATTGATGTTCACCCCGGCGTGATCTCACGGAGCGGCTCGTGGCTCAAATCCCTAAGACTCCTGGTGGCCCATAGAGCTCTGGGTCCAGCTCCTCATCGCTGCTCTCTTCACCGGCCTGGGCGCCTCGAGCACCGGAGCTACAGGCGACGCATTCAACACCCGGAGGGAACCAACAGAGGTTGAATGACCCTATAGACTATCCCATAGGTACCCCAGTAGGGTCCTATAAGGTCACTTAACCTCTCTTGGAATGAAAAAAAGACGAGGACCTGTTTCACCTTCATCGATCACTCAATCCCATTGAGGCTTCGTCTTCGGTGCCGTCCTCCTTCTACGTCGCGCCATTCACCTTCTTCCGCGCCGCCCGAAACACCGGAGAAAACATGGGTGCACAAGCATCCATGATCCCCTGCATCCAATGTTCATCCCTTGATTTGATCCCTCTTTGGACCAAAAGCAACGAATTCGGTCGAGTTGGGTGGTGGAACGTTCGATGCCAAGTGATCAGGCTACTGCAGGAGTCACCGCTCCGAATTGGTCACCCTCGCAGAATCGCACGTGCTTTTGGAGCTGGGCGCTCCCTCCGGAGCTGCGCGAACTTGGATGTTTTGAGGTTTTGACCCACACCTCCTATAAAATGTGGGTGAAGTACCAACACAAAGTGCCGAAACGTGAGTAAAAGCAGCACAGAAACTGGGAAAAGCCGAGTGTTCAGAACACATGGCTTGAGTGTTTTTGACTTACAACTTGCGACACATCAGGATTAAACCTCAGAAACCTCAAAGTGGACTCGGAAATTACATCATCTTGGCCTTGCTCTGGGCGGAGCCAGCGGAGCCAAAAATTGGGCGCGTCGACTTGAAGCAGTGGGTGGACACCGACGGTGTTTTGCACTCGGCTTCGGAGGTTTCGTCCATAACTAAACCCTAGAAGTCCAGTTCGAAGATGTTTTGCCCCACCCTAGGGTGATGGAATAGCCGGTGTACACAGGATATCTGGACATCGGGTTCCGAATAAGACTTTCGAATTGGACTCATGTTTGCACCATGGAAATTCCTAGATTCGGATCACCTATACCAGCACCGACTTCCCAGGTCACCAATTGAGACCTGTTAGGGCCCTTCCCAACCCTCCATTTCGGAGACCTGTTGGGTTCGGTGCTGGTATAGTCAGACCGTAAGTCATGGTCCACTGAACTCCGACGACCCCGGCTTCTCCCCTGAGCTCGGCCACTGGGTTGCCACTGGAGGTAGAACGCATTCTTGGTGTGCAATAAGACCTCCAACGAAAAAAGAGCCAGTCAAACTTCCCAGGGTCGCTAGCGGTGTCTGGTTGAGCAGGTATGAGTCTCAATTGATTATAATGCTTGTGTAAGAAGGGAGATGTACACCCCCGCGCTGAAGAGATGTGTGCAACAAGATGTTGCTCCCAAACGCTGATCAGTCTCCCCTAATTGGACCTGAGATGGGACCAGGCACATCGTCACGAACCCATTTAAGGTCCGTAAGCCTCTTGACAAACGGACAAACTGTGTTCAGGATCCATGAGAGTACATTAATGTTGTTTCAAGTGCTTCTCCTCCATCCGAACTTCACGTATATTAAACACATATGACAACACTCTTCGACCATCCTGAAAGAGACGATGTCGGTGACACGTGGCGACGGCGACGGCAGGGAGGCGAATCCTGACGGCAGGGAGGCGCCTCAAAGCGCTGTGGCACCCTCGCGCTGGTCTCATCATCCTCGCGACCCCGGTTCGCTTGCACCCGTGCACTCGGGTAACGCAAAGATTCCACTTGAGAAAACTGGAAACGGCCTGGTTTTGGTAGTTAAGAATGAGAAAGGTGCTCAAGTCATAGGCCAAAGGGGTAGTCAGGCGCAGCTGGCAGAACATTTTGATCAGATTCCTGAGTAAAACGGTTGGTTCTTCGATATTCCACCCGGAATCCTATAGGGCATAGAAGCGAAACCCCGGCATGGATTCGTGGCGCCACATGCCGGCCCTGAAAGATCCCACAGTCCCGTGACTCGGATCATCTGTATGTTCCACCGACTAAGTCCAGTTCGACTATTGGTGGCACCACCCTACCAGGGGCGCTCCTTAAGCCTTAAGCCTAACCGAGCGAGAAGCTGCGTTAGTACACCTTTTGGGGCATCGCGTAGCGTTCGTAGCGATCGGACGCGTGGCGAACGAAGTAAAGGAAAGTCCGAATACATCGGATCACAATGGTCGACTGGACCGTTTTGGTCGACTGGACTCCCAGGGCGACTGGACAAGTAATGGACCAAAGTTGTGGTGACAACCGGATGGTGATGGTCGTGATGGTCCGGCTGCTGTTCTCCCCATGTTGGCTACAGGAACCAAGGAGGACCAACCCATATTATAGAGGTTCGCAGATACATAGATAGGATAGGATCAATGTCCAATACTTGAGAAAGCAGGAGGTGAACGAAAGGTAGCAGGCAAGGCCCAGAAACACGAAGAAAATCACACGTTCCTGTGGCCGGCGAAGCGCAAAACGATGAGGTGCAGCAGGGGGGATTTGATCCGGGGGGCCGCCCTATGGCCCTATGATGAAGAATCCTTCCTTACAGGGCCAAACTCAATGCACAGTCCCAACTGCAGATTGCAAGGAGAACTCAGGTAGCTGAAGCTACCTTTCGTGACATGTGAAAGGGAGTTCTACTTTTCAAATTTCTTCTATATATATATAGAGAGAGAGAGATGCTGTCATGACTTTGTTCAATGCTCATACTTGAGAGGAGGGAGACACGAAAGGTAGGACAGCGGGAAGAGAAGAGAACGCGAGAGGCAGGAACAAAAATGCAAGGTTCGACATGGTGATTTATCCCCTCGGAGGCGACCTTTCGTAAATATATGTTCATGTGCACTCTAAATGTTCAAACATATGCTCTCGAATAGATTCTTAGGAAAACAAACTTGCCCCATGGGTCAGATCATCGGTGAGCATTGAATCGGAGCATCATAGGATTTGAACTATCCTGAAACCATAAGAGGCTCACGAAGACGTTCCCCAGGAGAGAATTGACGTGCTTCA